AAGAGATGCTTACTCGGACCCATCCAATTTTCTAAACTCAGTACCCCTGCCCTCCAGCAAACAAAGGGAGGTCTGCGTTTGTGCCGAGCTCTGGCATCCCTGAGAGCTGACCAGCAGAGCCTAGCTTTCCAGAACATCCCTGAGACCAGCCTGTGTCCTGTGACCATGGGGATCTATAGACAACCCTGAGCCCTAGGAGCTGGGTCTTGATCCCCAGGAAGAGGTTCTGCCTTGCAGACACCAGAACGTATTTGTTTATCGAGCCACGTGTGGAAAAGGAGGGAAAGGGGGCAATAAAAATGAGTCCTGGAGACGTCACGCCCACAGCCTGACTAGAGGTTAGTTATGCCTTTGCACAATAATGTTGGATTTCCTGCCCTGTGACCTTGGTTTGGGAGCAAAAGCAAATGTATACACACAGGCATACACACACATGCACACACACTCACAATGCCAGGCACCTGTCACAGACATCTTCACACAGCACAGCCCCCCGTGGGGTCTGGCCTTGGGTCTGAGTGCTGGCTGCTGATAAAATGGGCTCCAATCACAGGGGGGTCCTACCCCAGGGAATCTGTGCTCTGTCTCCCAAAGCCATGGATGGAAAGAGCAGGAAAGCTCTGAGATCATGTATTCCAGCCAATCCCCTTGTGCCTTGGTGGAGGGAGAACTGAGGCCTGGCAGGAAGTGATGGATGTACTGGACATCATGTAGTAAATTCACGGCCCGGCCAGTGCTGCTCTGACCCAAGCCCCTTGACCACCAGTTAGCCCCGGTGGACCATAAACGTGATCGAGGACCTGCTGTGTGCCTAACACCGTGCAAGGCATGGTCGGGGATACACAAGACACCAGATGCCCTGCCTTTCAGGGGCTTATCCTCTCATTGAGCAGCCACCCTGGCACACAGAATGCACAAGAGGACAGCCTCACTCCTGCCGGCAGCTTGAGCTATGTCTTAGTGATCCACCGGCACTTCTCACTTAAACAACTGCCTCTGAGGCTGGGGAAGGAGGCTCATGAAGAAGGAGGGCATTAGAACAAGGGCAAGGGCTGGCAGAAACCGGTCAGAGGAGAGACTGATCGGTGCTGTCCCAAAGAATTTTCTGCAGCGGTGGAAATGCCCTCTAGCTGCACTGTCCAATGCCGTAGGCACAACTGAGCATTTGAGCATTTGAAATGTGGCTCGTGGGAGTGAGGAACCGGTGGCCTGAATCCTTACATCCAGGCTTCCTCGTTTCGGGCTGAGAAGTCATTGAGCAATGAGCACCTGTTGGAGACTCTGGTTGCCTCAAAGCCACTTGTTTCCTGGGCTGGTGAGGAGTGAGTCTCATGGAATTAGGAGTGAGGGTACACACCTGCTGAAGGATGAGGGATGGACTCTGGCAGGTGAGGGATGCTTGTCCATGGGGCCACCTGAGGAGGCATGGCCACACCTTGCTGCCTGGTCTTTGCTCCAAAGGAATGTGGGCAGGCCTAGTCCCACCATGGCCCTCAGGAGGGAGGCTGCCTGCTAGACGCCCCCAAGCCCTGTGGCCCCATAGATGCCATCTGGCTTCCTTGGCATTCTTACCTCCTCTTAATTCCCAAGTCTTTATCAGAGATATCTGAATGAGGATGGAGAAGAAAGGAACTGAAATATGGCTGTTGAGGGAGCAGCCGCAGACAACTTGATGACAGGCAGTGTAGTGGGACAGGAAAGCGATGCTAGAGAGACCAAATCCCCAGCTCTTCCTTTCTTTACTAGCTATGTGACTGAAGACGAGTGAATGGGCCTCAGTTTCCTCATTGGTAAAATAGAGATCGATAACACAGATAAACCCATGGACTTCACAGGATGGCTGAAGGAAGCACATGAGAGCTTTCCGCAAACTGTAGACAGTAGAAGAGTGATAATGATGACCATGGGGGGACTGCCAAACCGTCCCAGAACCAGAGCCTCTTCCAAATAGTCCCGCCAACCCTACAACGTGGGTGGGTCCTGAAGCAACTCAACATCTGGGAGTCTCATCTGCTCAAAGCAGAGCCTCTGCCACACCCTTGCCTTGCCACGTGGACAGCTTCATCTCTCGGAAATTTTAGGAAGTAGGGGCGCCTGGACGGCTCAGTCGGTTAAGTGTCCACCTCCTGATTTCAGTTCAGGTCGTGATCTCACAGTTTGTGAGTTGCAGCCCTGAGTCAGGCTTTGCACTGATAGCATGGAGCCTGCCTGGGATTCTCTCTGTCCCTCCCCTGCTCGCTCTCTCTCTCTCTCTCTCTCACTTTCTCTCTCTCTTTCTCTCTCAAGAGTGAATAATAAATTTTTTTTAAAAAAGAAATTTAAGGAAGCAGTGAGGGAACCATTCTTCTGGGTATAATTCTGGCTGACTGGAAGGCCCTTTGGTGTCTGACTGAATTTGAAAAAGGCACCCTCTTAGAGAGGACCCAGCCTTATGTGCTCATGCTTAGCGAATAGAGATGACTATGAAAATTATCAAAAGTGCCCTTTCCTCCAGGCTTATCATGCCCCCACACCAGGATGCCCTCTTGGCCAAACATTTTTCTGCAGGGCACCCTGGGAATATGCCACTTTAAAGCAGGCAGGCTTGGAGCACCTAGGTGGCTCAGTCGGTTGGCTGTCTGACTTCAGCTCAGGTCATGATCTCACGATTCATGGGTTTGAGCCCCGCATCAACCTCACTGCTGTCAGCACAGAGCCTGCTTCGGATCCTCTGTCGCCCCTCTCTCTCTGCCCATCCACCACTCATGCTCTTTCTCTATCAAAAATAAACGTTTTTATAGGAAAGAAGGAAAGAAAAGAAAAGAAAAGAAAAGAAAAGAAAAGAAAAGAAAAGAAAAGAAAAGAAGATCCATCACACATGGACCCTCTGGAATGTCAGGATTGGAGATATTACATGTCACAGAAAAACAAGGATCTGGGCACCCTGCTTACATGAAGTGAAATGCATTTATTCGTTGAAGAAATTCTTTAATATACTACATCATGAATCTCCAAGAAAGTAATATTGCACACAGC